AAAGTAGAGTTTTCTATATTGTGTCCTGATTTCTTCTTTCAAAAGTAAGACTTTTAGGCGACGTAGGCATCTCCTACTGTTCAATGAAAGAGGTTCTCTGTTTATCTTGATGTGTATGTATTTTGGTGTTAGGTTTTCTTGTAAACATCGGTTATTAAAGTAGATATTACAATTGACTTTCATCCTCTTGATGGAACTTAACTTGTAGTCGTTGGCTGCTGAATTGATGAAACTTGTTTTTGTAGTATTCCCTAGTGGATGGAGAGTATGGTGAGTTTTCTCTTTTTTATTATTTTATATATCGTTTTGTTTCCAAGTTAACACACCTTACACCACATATTCTCCTTTCCACTAGGCGAGCCTGAAGATGAAGTGATGACACTTCGAAACCGGTCGCACTCAATGTTTTGTTAAACAATTAAACATTGACTTTCCTTGTGAGATATAAAGGACTTTTTCTCACCCTTCACCTTAAAATTTGAAATTTGTATTGGTGTCTAAATCAATGAGCCTTTGTTGCGCAATTGTAGGCCACAAAGGCTAACAGATTTCAGCACCCAGGTGTCGTCATATAGGAGGATGTGTAAATATGCTCTAGGGTCCTATATTTCCTTAGATCACTGGATTGGAATGTGCGTTGTCTGTCAGTCACTCGGCCAATCACGGTACTGTTTAAAAAACTTTTAAGTAACAGAAACGTATGACAGTTCATTATTAAAAAAAAAATAAATAATATTTTATTTTAACAATATTATACTTTTTAACAGGAACGGTTTCTCCTTTGGTTTATTTAAGCAGTAAACACCCAGTTACATTTCATACAAACACATTATTTTAAAATAAATAACATAAAAATATAAATTCAATTTTAATAATTTTTGGTATGCCACGGCGCTGTAATCCCGTCTCTTTGGCTCACTTTTCTAAATAAGCTGAGGAAGCGAGATGAATTACCGAAAGCCTCTAACTAAAAAGAGATTCATGAAATGAACAATGACCTTCAGGATAGTGTTGCAACTGTAATTGTAACCTACCAAATGAACTCGGTGATTCCACCAAAATTTTAAACTTAAAAAAAAATTATTAAAGTATTAACTACAATTAAAAATGTTGTCTACTACGGTTACACAAGTTTCGGCTGTTCCGGTGTCAACCTTCGGGCCTTCGACGTCGCTCAGACGGCAGCTAGGGGGTGAATAGCTTACAAGAATTCCGGAAATAGTAGACAAATGAGTAGGTGCCAACTGGGTCTATATAGTGGCAAAACTATGATCCTATTTCCCCAAAAACCCAGTAAATGAGGAAAGAAATAAAAGACAAACCTCAACTTATGTTCCTTTATAAAGAAAAAAAGAAAAAAAATATTTACTAAATATATCAACTTTAAATTTCAACAAATTATTATGAGTTCGACAAACTACTAAAACTAATTAATTACCTAATGGCTTTAGATAATCCAAAAAAAAAAAATAAGTTGGAGGAAATTAAAGGGAAAGTTTACACCATATATGTATATGCATAACCCAAAATAAATTATTAAATGTATCAAAATATGGCACGGTTCGTCGTTAGCTTGGTACCAGGCATGACGCTTGCGCAAAATATTAATTTCCACCTTACATAAAATATAAAATAATAGTTAACTCAAATCTTGTGCATAACCGCACCTATACTACATCATATATTATAAACTAAACAGTAAACTTATAATCCTTATAAGCTTATAACCCTCTCCAAATTGGAAGGCGATATCTGCTTAACTTTTGGTTAAGACCAAACTACCCAAAATAAAATTATTAAACCATGAAATTTTATAATTAAGTATAATTCATAGAACTAAATAAAAATATAAAAAAAAAAATAAAATTACAATGAACATATAAAGGACTTTAGACACAGAGGATATTTACTTAAACTCCCAGGTTGGAAGAGGTTACTTAATCTCTGCCCCCACACGGGTCTTCTGAGATTGCTTAACTTATATGTTAAGTCTTATCATAAAAAAAAATAAATAAAATGTAAAAATGAAGAAAAAGGTTAAATTTGACTGTAGTTCTTAATAACTGAAGGTTTACAACTTAAGCGTAGAAGCAGTCCAGATGTTCTGCAACTAGAAGAATCACTACTCCAGCATTAAGTGGTTATTAAAAAAAAAAAATAAATGAAAAATACACAAAGGACTTCAGACACCGTTGATATACTTTAAAGCTCCCATAAATAGGAAGAGGTTGTTAAATCTCTGCCCCCACACGGGTCTTCTGAGATCGCTGAACTTGATCGTTAAGTCTGGTCCATTTAATAATGAATAAATTGAAAAAGTAAAATTATGACAGTAGCCCTTAATAACTGAAGAATTACAACTTAAACGTGGAAGCAGTCCAAGTGTTCTGCGACCCGAAGGATTACTACATCAGCATTAAGTGCTTAAATTAAGAAAAAGTTTGAAATATTAATCAATTAAACGATGTAATATTTGATAATACATAAGTTATGAGTGAAAGAACCCTAGAACATTCTGTGCTCAAAAGTATAAATAATGTTGAGAATACCTTGACAACATTCGGTTGAAAGTGAATGTATAGTTTAACAATACACACATGAAACCTTCAATATAACGTATAAAAAAAACCTGATAATAGGGTGTCTTCTTTCACAGCATTCCCATCTTCCTATCCAGAACGAGAATCATCCTTGTAAATCTAGCTACAAGTAAGCTAGGCGACTAGCATACCAATGTTCTGTGTTCCCTCGATGAGTCCACGATGAAACCATTGAACTCCGGACGATATAACCCTCTGTGTACAACTGTTGAAATCCTGAGTCGCTACCCCCTGGGTGAAACTGTCATCGAATCCTGGGTTATCAACCCCCTGGGTGAAACCCTTAAAATATTACAAAGAAAAATGTCAATACCCATTGACTCAAGTATCCCGAACTATAGGATTACCCAAAAATGTACATAAACTAGAAACTATTCAGCATCTAGGACAAAGAAAAATTACATTGGCTCAACAGTGAGTCATAAACAGTATTATGAGCTCAAATAATTAAAATTATGTTACACCATACCATAACATAAAAGAAATTGACAGCCACATGGTGCGTAACATAACCAAATATATACAGAACATACCTTTTTCGTAAAGGGTTAACTTGGTAGCCTTCCAAGGATGAGAAACACGTGAGATGATCCACAGCACAACAATATTCCACACTCCAAATGCTGTGAACTTCCAATTATTGCGTTAAAATCCTATAATAGATATGGGCTGGACCAATGACCATAGGAATTTACCAATACACCAAAAATTCCTCTCAAAATACGAAATGCCCATTTACCCACAATTAACCATGAAGTAGAATCTAAAATCCACTTTAATTAGGTAAGCCGATGGGGCTAAATATTAACAAAATTCTACTTCGACGCAAAATTCGTCTTTCTCGTGATTCAACACCCACTGACTAAAAAAAATACGTCAGCCGTCAAAAATGGCCAAAATCCCTTTCCGATAAATGTCAAGCCAAGTGGGTTCAGAAATTCATCCTCAAGAATTCCCCACTATATAACTTAAGAGACCACTTACGAAAGGTACCCTAAAAACTATATTTATATACAGTATAACTACATTTGGGAAACTGTTCCCGACAAAAATTAATACAACAGCGATCGCCAAAAAATCCCTCACGACTGAAAATCGCTCATTGTGAAACTACCTTACCTCGGGTTCTGAGCCCGATATTGGAATGTCCTACAAACATGACACTTGCCGGTGTTCTGTCATCAAATGACGTTTATGTCATTCACTGTCACAATTAAAAAATATTAACCTAATACTGACAGCCATAACAAAAACAAGCAATGACATTCTTAAAGAATGGTATCGTAAATAATTAATTACCCAAAGGTGAGAACTATAATACATAATATATATAAATTTACAACGAAACTTGGTCTATTTTTAGGAGAACTACCACCTTTTTACTAAGTGGTGAGATGAAATAAATTGTAATAATGATGTCCGAAAGTTAGGATACAGGTGAAATTAGTTAATGACAAAAATAATAGTGATATCATCAATACGATTTTACCCTTTTTTTCGTATGATTAACCAGGTAAGCCAAAACAATTTTATTAATTCGTGAGGCCAAAAATGAACGTTACATAATATGGTTTGATTCGATTTCGTCTTCAATATCTTGCGTTTTAGTGCCGTCCCAGAGCCCTCTCAGCATCAATGCGTGTGATTTATTGTCGCCGTTGGTGTATGTATGGTGTGCTATGTTTTCGTCTCTGACATTTTGAAGGACTCTCTGATGGTTGTCTTTGTCATCCACGAACAGGATTGTGGAGTTGTTCGAGTGCTTAACACTGAACCCTCCTTTAATTTTGGCCTTAATCTCTTTTATTAATGCAGTTTGATTCACTGTTTTGCCGTCGACCACAATGGGGGGCATCGACCCTTGTTTCTTGTTCGAGATGTTTGGTTGGTTTGACCTTGGGTATGTTTGTAGCGATGTTGAAAACGTTATCTGAGGTGATTTCTTTATTTGGACTTTTGTCCTTTAGGGTGCCTTCTTTAGGGGTGTTTTTCCGTCTTCTTTTGGGGTGTTTTTCCGTCTTCTTTTGACTATTCGAACAATTTCATTGTCTACATTGGAGTCCGAGTCATCCGTGAGTACGATGTACTTATTGCTCTTGGTTGTGAATGTTTGTTTTGAATTTTCTCGGATGAGTTTTTTAAAGTTTGAACTGAACTTCCTGGGAATCTCAAACGGAAATTCATTTATTTAAGTGCTGTTAGGTGCAGTGGGAATTCATACTTCTCTGTGAGATTCAAGTGCATATGCACCCCTTTCTTCTTCCGAAGTGCAATCACCGGTATTGAAACCGTGTATGGATTCCTGGAGGGATATAGGTATGTCTGAGGCATTTATTTGCATTTTAATCTCACTGTTTTCAAGGATGTTTATTAAGTTGCTGAATGTGGAGGTGTTAATACCTGTGGTTGTTTGTCTTGGAGGTGCGAGTGCAGAATTACCGAGATTTGAGCTACTCAGTTCACCTATCCTTCGGTTTGTCTTTACTCGCTCGCTTTTAATTTTTTCCATACTTTTTGTTTTAAAAATTAGAGGAGATCTTTTGGGTATAGTTCCTGTTTTGTTGGCGGTGAATGCGTGGTGGTGCAAATCGGCGCCGGTACCAACATTCAGGATTCTAGCTCCTATAGGTATTTCAACCCTTTTGATGGTAACTTTCGTAGGGTGGTTAGATTGAGTCACGTATGCCGATTGGAAGATCTGAGCATGATCTGTAGTCCCTGTCGGGATGATGTGGGAGTTCGATGCTGCAAGAGACATGTTAGAAGAGAGGTTTCTCGAAGGGATGGGGTTGGAAATTATCTCATGGGGTGAGGCCCCTCCTTCAGGTGTATTGTTATCCGCATTAATCAATTCCTCGGATTTATCGTCGCTCGCACTGCGACTAAAGTAAGGAGTGTTGTTGCCTGTGTTTCCTGGCTTTTTCTGTACGTTCTTCGAACTTTTTTGGTTGTTATCCTGACAGTGGCGGCTCTTGACTAAAAAATTGGGGGTTCACAATGACAGAATATAAATCTCAGTACAGATGTAAGTACAAAACTTTAATTGCTTTAACAAGATTTTAATATACCTTTCTAAACTCTCAAGGTTTTTTCTACATAATATGTTTTGATATCTATATTCTGCCATTGTGAACCCCCAAAATATTGGTTACGAGCCTCCACTGATCCTGACTTTTTCGTATATATTTTTTATACTTTCACGAGAATTCTCCTGGCCTTCTTTTAGGTTGGAGGTATTTATTTGGGAGTTTTGGTTTGTTCTTGTTAGAGTGTTTGTATTCTGTGTGGCGTCGTTGGGGGTTGGTGGTCCACAGGGTTGGTTTTCCTTTAGTGTTATTTTTTCGGTGTTTATAATAGAAATCTTCATACTATCCTCAGAGCTTGTGGATTTGTTCAAATCCCCGTAAACTTCCTCACGAAGTCTTTGGGGGGGTAATTTAGAGGTCATTCCAGGAAATTTTTAAACAAAGGTTTTCCCTGTTCTGGACAGCTGATCCCTTGATTAGTTGTAGTTGTTTTAAGACCCAGTAATGTGATCCTTTTCTTTTGGTTTTAGCCTTAAATGTCTCAGGAGTATGGATTTTCAAGGTGCTTTTGAGAGTTTTCGTGTGTTTCATCTATTTCTTTAACGTTGGGAGTAGATTGTTGGGTATTCCTTGGTATTGCTATCGGTGCTTGCCCGAAAGGCTCTACCATGGCTGTAACTCCTTCTATGTGGTTGATACTTATATTTCCTGGCTGACTCGAACGATAAAATTAATAAAAATTATAGCGGCTAGAGGTTAATAACCTGGTGTCTCAATTCGGAACTACGAGGAACGTTACGAAAATCGACGTACTGTTTTTGGTGAATCAAAAGGGTAAACTCGCTCGCTGCTTCGCCGGCCATCTTACCGTTCAGTCTTTCGTCCGACAAGTTGTACATATTGTTCGCCGTTTAAATTTTGAATTTCAGTATTGTGTTCACTGCTGCGAAATATGTCGCTCATCGCTTTAATGTTAATGTCTTGCGCATATGTCCAGGTTTTCGTCTAGCCAGAAATACGTCCTATTAGCGTTATTGCCCCTATTAGTGCTGATTACGTCTTTCCTGATGTCCTGAGGAAGAAATCTGTGATGGAATCTCTCTGCTGTGAATAATGGATCGCTTAATAAGAGGTATGCCTGCTTGTTCATGTATGTCCGTGACTCTAGTGTACCTATCACACCCCAGGGCTGTAGTTGATTTGATTTTTTTACCGCTCTTGTGAGTTCTGATATGTTTACTAGTTTATGTAATTTATCAAGTTCTTTGTTTAGGTCTTGTATTGTTCAAATTACATTTGAACACTCGCGCAGTATGCGACAACACAACACTTATCTCATTTATCTCATACATAACACCACCTTTACACATAAAAATAAAGTCACACCTCTAACAATCTCACTAGCGAAGCCACGCCTCACGAAATAAAAATTAATAAATGTGTAACCAATCAGAAATAAAATACATGACGTATGCTTAACCATTTCCATATCACGGAAGTGGGCTCTAAGTTTTTGTAAAGAGACAACGACTTAGTCTGCAGACTCTCCATCGACAAGATGTAAAAAATTGTTTTATCTCATAGAACCATGTTTGTTAAAATTGTAATTTAAGTTAAGTGTTTATAGTTCTTCGGCAGTTTGCCATTATAATATGTAATCCATTTGTTTTGCCTGCATGGCACCATCGTTTTAAGCGTGAATAAATACGCATAGAGGAAGAGTGAGTTTTTATTTATGTTTCGTCCCACGAGTAATTAATGGAGGCCCCAGCGAAGTTCTGGGTGGTCTCCAGAGGCGCACTAGTACGTTAGTGTCGGCCAGCTCACCTAAATGGTAGTCTGTCTTTCTGAAAAGATCACAGGCCGCCAACATGTATTTTGTTCAGATTTCCTCCTGTCTTGCGGGTTGATATTTTGGTTCTTTGTGGGTCTTTGAGTCGGTTGACTCGCATTTAGTTTTTGGCTCGGTAGGGGTGGGTATTCGTGTCTATTATGCTGTTGATCTGAGTTGTTTTGTTGCTCTCTTTCTCAAGCATTTTGTCTCGGAATTGCTGCTGGTATCTATCTTTCTTGTTCCTTCTTTGGTTGTCTTTCCTCAAGCCTCTTAACTTGTTCCAGGTAGTGACGGCATTTAGTATAATTTGCCGGATGATTACCCCCGCAGTTTGAGCATTTAGTTGGTAATTCTCTGGACTTTGTGAGGTGATCACCCGCACAAGATAATTTGTAGTCGCATGTCCCCATAATTGACATAGGTGACATTGAATGACGAGTGTGGCAGACTTTCTCAACTCCCATATAAGTATGAATTATTTTTTTCTCGCGTTTTTGTTTAAGAAGTCTAACGTTACTGATGGGTCTGTGACGATAAGGTAAAGTGGTCTATTTTTCGTTGTCATAGGATAAATTGCTCTAACTTTGATATCGTATTCTTTCTGTAGATCATTTTTAATGTCTGCTGCTGTAGTACCCTTGGCTAGGCCTCTTAGGACAAATGCGTTGGATTTACCGTGCTTGTTTGTATGTGTGGTGTGGTATACTTTCGCTTTTAATGCTGTTAAGGATTTTGTTGTGATCGTCTTCATCATTCACAAATAGAATGGTGGAGTTTGTTGGTATGTTTTACCGTGAATCCTGCCTTGATGGATGTCCTTATATTTTGCACTAGCCCTTTGTGGTCTGTCCTAACTCCGCCTAGTACTATAGGTAGCATTATATTTTTTTTTGGAGATTGTTTTTGTTTGTTCTACTTTATTTATTACTACCGTTCTCTTTTTTGCTGGGTTTGGTATTGTCCTCTTGGCTCGTTTCGTATCTTCTTCATCCTGAGAGTGTTTGATATGCATTGCTTGCTTTGATTGATGCTTTTACTTTTTGATATATGAGGTGCTTGAATTTGGTTGTTTTTCTTAGGGTCATGAATGGTTCACCCTGATCCATTACATCAATTTTATCCATATTTTCATTAATTAAGAAATTCGAAGAATAAAAATAATAAATAGTCTTATTTATCCAGTAGAGTATAGGTGGCGTGTTCTTTGTCTAATCCTAAAATTGATAACATGCAAATGATTTATTACTACAAAAATATAACCTTACTAAATATCAGGTCAATACAATAAATAGTAACAAAAATATTGCAAAAAAACTTTAACACTCTATATCTTATCAGCACATAACAATTGGCCCAGTATTATTTAGCAAAATATTAATAATTTAAGGACCTGAACCTATGGTTAAAATATTTACCATTCCTTATGAAACACCTTGCACAGACATACAATATTTTTTTCTTTTTATGCTTTGATCCAACCACCATGTTTATTGATAAATTAAAATTAGGATAAAACTAAATTCCGATGAAACTATTAATTTCAAAGCACTAACTTAAAATATTAAGTTTTGATAACATGAAATTCCTATATAAATGTTGTCAGTAATAAAAATTAACTGCACGATAAGTTATAGACATTTTATCTTTTTTACAAATAAAAACTTGAAGAAAAAAAACACATAAGTCGTGACTCCAACACATTAATTCGTATTTTCTCTATATGAACTCCAGTCCAATTAAGCCGACATTAGTGACCTTACGTGAGTTCTACAAGGTCACTAGCCATTGCCAGAGATGCCTATCATGAGGTTACTTCCTTCTGAATCGTTATCATTCTCATTCGCTAACCCAAGAATTGGCAAATTTATTATGTGGTTGGGAATTTAAAACAGAGTGTGGAAATCAATGTTAATTTTTATTTCTTTTGATGGAATTTTCTATTGTAATGATACGGATAATTCAAATATAAAAACAAATAATAATAATAACTTTAAAAAACTATTATTATTTGTGGATTTTGCGATGGCAATTCAAGAGCTGCGAAAAGAAAGTATGCAGTACGCTTTCCTGGACGAAAATGGACGATCTGCAAGCGCAAAAATAAGTGAACATAATCAAAGACGACATGTAGATTTTAGATAAGGAATAAAATATTTTTAATGTGGTACAAAATCATCCAACTATAAGTAAACGAAGACTTAGTAATGTTCTTAATTTGCCGCATGTCACTGTTTGGAGAAGATTAAAAAAATCATCTCTACCCTTTCCAGGTAAGTATAGCATATAAGTATAGTATATAAGTATAGCATTGCTCGAATAAATTTCACAAGAGATGGGATGTTTAATTTAAGGGGAATCTAACGCTCGAGTTTTGACACAAATGTAGAAAGTCGGCTCATAACCGATTACAGCCTCATTTTTCAATACCTAAAGAAGAATATTTTTGGTATGTCTATAAAAAACAATTGTAAAGGTTTATCTTAGAACAAAATTTTGAATGCCCAAAATGTAAAAAAATTGGAATCCTTACGACCCAATTTCGTGCTTCATAGGAAAAATAACAAAAAATTGATCTAAAATAAACTTTTATTCATCCCTTAACAATATTCTAATTCAAAAAAAAAAAAAAAATCTTCAAAAATAAGCTAGTAAATCGTTATCAGCTGTGTTACAGGACGATGACGACCAAACAAACAATGCCGAGTTTGACGAATACATAAACCCAAATATCGACTGTGAATTAGGCTTCTTGGAGATACCACGTTAAAAAAAAACGCGCCAATCAATTCTACCTCAAGGGTGGTGTGGAAACGAGTTGAACATGATATTTTCCTACGACCACTTAGGAAAGTGACACATATCACACTATATCGTCCTATGGAAAGTGTCCTATATCACACGCGTATGAATAAGAACAATATTTCCCACTCGTGTGGAAAATTTTACTTACCACACTGGTAATGTAATATTCTATTTATATTTTGGTGGTGAAAGTTCCAGTGCGTACAGGGGGCGGTATCGCCCCCGTTGGGAATCTATGGTGTACAGTAATAACAGTTTGTAAACAATATTTGTTTGTTTTTTCAATTATCTATCTCATTTTAGCCCTTGCATCCTTAAAGTTTATTAGAATTTTAAGAATATTCTGACTTGGTTCTCAGGATGAGAATAGTTTTACCGAAATATTCTTTCTTAGTTAAAGGATTTATTTAATCTTATTTGAGTGAAATCTGTAATGCAAAAGATTGATTTAATAATAATAATAATAATAATAATAATAACGATTTTATTGATACAGGCCTTTACAAAACATTTAAATACATAACTTAAAATATGATAAATACAAGGTATCCTGTAGAGCAACAGGCAAAGTTCGCTTTCTTCAATCTGAAAAAAAAAATCGGAATGAAGAAGAGCGTTCTTCCACTTAACCTACAAAAAAGTATACATTATAATATACATTAACTAGATACATAATTATTTTTATTTTTTTATACCAATAAACTAATTAAGCAATATAAAATATTATATAATATAAAAAATTTGAGCAATAATTAAAAATTAGTTATAAACAAAAAACTGAAACAA